GTGGTTGCGCCGCGGCCCTGACTTCCCGCGTGGTGACGACGGCATGCGCGGCCCCAGCCTCTAGTGCAATGACAATGGCGCGGCGCGCGGCTCCGGACTCCTGTGCAATGACGACGGTGTGGCGCGGGGCTCTAGCCTCCTGTGAGACGACGACGGCGTGGCTTCAAGCTGGCACGATGGGCTGCCACGGCATAGCACGAGGCCGTAATGTCGTGCCTGGGCCAGGTGCCGGAACGGCGGCACTAACAGGCACGGCACGATAGCCTAGGTGCCAGAGCCCGCGGCCTAGGGGTCGGGCAAGACAGAGACCGCGGCCTCGAGGTCGGGCGAGACGCGGCCCGCGGCCTTGAGGTCGGGAGAGATGGAGCCCGCAGCCTTGGGCGAGACCCCGCGGTCTCGAGGTCGAGCGAGACGGAGCCCGCGGTCTTGGAGTCGTGCGAGACTTTTTAATTCGTTTTGCCCCATCCAGGGAAGTCGGCGTGGGCGCTAACTTCGTTACTTTGGGTATCCCTAATATCGATAGCCGACACCAGTGGTGGAGCCCCGCCACCATCCGACCACCCCGGGTGGCCGGCCGGCCTCGTTGCCGACCTTCAAAAGAAAATTTTCAGTATAATCAAAATGGAACCTGTAATTTTGTAGGCAAATATATTTTTTGCATGATAAGAATTGTCCGGACTCCTTAAGCTTCGGGCTCCGCTAATGCCTTTTTCCTTTGAATCACGAGCTCCACGCGACAAGCAAGTGCAGCAGGTTGGAGTGAGAATCAAATCATCTACTATGGCAGAATGACAGCTGGAGTTCATGGATTGTCAGCTGTCTCCAGTTCGGACCGGTACCGCCGTGAATGAATAATCATTGGTGACGTCGCGCTCATATCATGGCTCGCGGTCTACGAGGCAAAGACCGGCTTGACGGAGCCGAGGACACGGCATGCAGATGCAGTAGGGTTTCCAGCTTCCTCCAACGGTCACCGGGTATGCATGGCCTGACACGCTCATGTGTCGTGGTGTAGCCTCTCACGGTCACGGCCCGCATCTAATCGATCGGTGATGGGTGGCGCGTCCATGTCCATCAGACGGACGGGGGTAGCGGACGTGACGAGCGCGCGGCTTAGACCGGGCCAAGCGGGCGAACCTGGGGCAACAGGCCACGCACTGGGCACTGGCACACTGCCGATTCGGCATCAACGAGCATTTCCGCTGCATCTAGTACTCCGTACTACTACTAGAGGATTGGCACCGCCCTGTCGCCCATCGTGCAGCTCAGCAGCTCTGCGGCAGGGCCATCATGCCCGGCTTGACCAGGGCCTGTGCGCCGTGGGAGGCTTCAGCTTCTTGCACACTGTAGAGTTGTATGTGCTAGGCCATGTTTAGATTGCAAAAAATTGCAACCTGATGAATAGTAGCGTTTTCGTCTTATTTGGTAAATATTGTCCAATTGTGGACCAACTAAGCTCAAAAGATTCATCTCGTGATTTCCAACTAAACTGTGTAATTAGTTATTTTTTTACCTACATTTAATACTCCATGCAAACGGCTAAAAATTGATGTGATGGAGAGAGAGTGAAAAAACTTGGAATTTTGATGTAAACTAAACAAGGCCCTAGCTACTGGGCACGTTGCATCATTTTCTGTGCGCGCCGGCTCGCCCGTAGTACGGTGGTCGCATTCTCCTGCCCTCCTCCAGTCCTCCTGGCGCCTGGCCATGGTTCAATGTTCAATGCTCTGTCCCCGCTGCTGGCAAGGGGCTATACGTAGGGGACATGCATGCGCCATGCGGCGACACCGCGACATGTGTGCGCGGTGTGCTTCGCTTGCCATGCCTGCCGCGTCAGGTAGGCAGGGAAGGGAAGGGAAGGGAAGGGAAGGGGAGGGGAGGGGAGGGAGGCGTTCGGCAAGGAGCATGCAGGCGCGCAGCCGCCGGTGAGGCGGCGACCGATGGATGCCGTGTTGCTCCATGCACTGCCGCTCTGCGTTTTGGTGGCAGGTAGCCCCTGTCGCTGAACCGATCGTACGCAGCGCCAGACCGGGCGCCCGGTGACGGCGACTATTCCCTTCTGTGTTCTCCCCCACCAGCATGTCCCCTCTCGGGGTTGGCACGCCGTACGGACGCTGGTACCGCGCCGCGCGCGCCTGCCCTACTCAGCACTCACACGGACCTGGGCAGGTGCGTGCGCCGTGCGGCTGCGGTATGTTGTTGAGCCCGCCGCGCGCCCAGCCTGCCAGCGGCGGCAGTGACCAGTGGCTTACGCGGAGGAAGCCGTACGCGGCGGGCGGCTCTTCAGGACCGGCGTGAATGGCAACGGGACGGACGCCGGACGGCGTGAACAGTTGGCGTGAATGTGCGCTGCTGCCCGGCGAAGGCACGTCGGCAATCGACAACAGCGTGTGCCGTTGCAAGTACCATGTGCTTTAAACAGGGGCGTAAATAAATAAATGTGATTTGCGACACGACTGAAGTACGGGAAGGAGTAAAGTCCGGTTTAGCATTCAACTCTGTGTGAGCAGGCAGCGGGCTACAATCGGAATGAAGCTGCAGGGCCCTGGCAGTGGCAGGCGGAGCCATCATCGCCGCTTCCCTCCTCTCGCCCGCCCGCCCGCCCGCCTCCGTCCTCAGTCCTCACATAAGAGTACTGTAGCTGTGATACTCTAACCTGCTCGGCTAATGCTGTTTTGTTGTGAGAGAAAACAATATATCATGATAAGTATGACGGAAACGATGGAGCGAACAGCGTGCTAAATGGCGAAGGCGCTAAAGAGAACTGCCGCTGCAAACCCTCTCCACCTGCCATCTGCCACGGCAAAATGGTGATTCAGCGGGTACTTAATTTGGCACGGAAAATATGACGGCCCATCCGGCGTCCGTCCGGCCAGCAGCAGCTCAGCTCAAGAAGAGCAGGAGCAGTGGCGTGACTTGCGTTCGGGCTCTGAAAAGCCCCTTAACTTTTGGGTGTGGCTCGAAATTTCACGCGGCCACTCGGCCAGGATCAGGATCCTGTGCGGGCGAGAGATCACCGTCATCATCACCTCGCCAGAGCGCAGCAACCAGCAATGCAATGCATTGTAGCAGCAGCAGCAAGAGGGAGAGAGAGAGAGAGAGGAATAGGCATCATTGCAGCAGAACAGAGTTATTCCCTGCAAATGGGCGAGACCATGATTCCAGCGAGGGGGGGTTCACATGTTACCACTAGCTAGTCTGGTCCGCGGACGACGCAGCACAGCAGCCGAACCACCGGGCGGGACGGTGAAAGGAGCTAGGGAGGGAGATGGATCTGCTGCATTCTGCGGTCTGCGGACGAGCTAATCATGCCGTCGCTCGTTGCATCAATCAGATTCGCGCTTTACTTTACATCTGGCGATCGTTTAGGGTTAGGTCCTGGTTTCGTCAGGTAATCACTGCGCTTGATCCAACCAATGCAGTGCCTAATCATCTCGAGCTCGAGGATTACTCATTCATTCACCCATTCTCCTTCTCAAAAGTTGCACACGTAATGATAGATGATTATCTTTGTCAAAAGGGAGAAAACAACAATTGGTGTCGCTTTCATGACAGGTAACCGTAAAACTTTGGCTAGAATATTATGCTAAAACGTTAGTATGGCTGAACAACAATGTGAAACCAGATGATTCCGGAGACATTAATTAGGTGATGATCACTATACAGTTATCTTTTTTAGGGGAAAAAAAGGTTGTACTAAGGAGTAGCTAGAGCGTGTACGTACTGATTGAGGATCGCGGGTTGATTAAGACCGTGACGGCCCGTCACATGGCGCCATCTTTTTTTAATGCATGCCGCGGCGAACACGGTCAGCCCGGCCGGGGAAGGTACACGTACATACTCTCGTTGGTCTCCTCCCCAACCCCTCCTAATTCCCCTCCCCCCACCAATCAGGAACCATCTTCGTCTTCCTCCTCCACCTCTCCGGCTCCATCGAGATCCCTCTCATCTCATGGCGGTCTCGAGAGTGGGGTGGTTAGCGTTAGCTACTTTCGCTTCCATCCAAGAATCAATCCGATCCGAAGCCGGTAGGCGACTGCCACCGTACCGCCGATCGCTTTCGACTTTTTTGTAGCAAGCGATCCATCTTTCCCTTGCAGTCGCCGCCGATAGCTTCCTCTGAAGCGCCTCGATCGCTCTGCGCTCACCCAATTTGTATGCATATATATCATACGACAAGTACGTATGCATAGCAGTTTGGTGAGCGACGGTTGGGACCGGTGGAGCAACTAGATTCGTAGCCAGTCTCGACGGTTGTGACCGGACACCGGAGGGGAGAAACAAACTTGGCGCCGGAAATCTCGCCGCCAATCGCTGCCGGCCCGCCGCCGGTGGGGATTACTTGTTTGCATGCACTCATGTTTGGGACCGGGGCCCCGGGATTACGCACCAAAAACGGACTCGTCCATCGGCGAGCTCGACGACAGCAACTGCAGCTTCGACTCGTGCACAGTGCCGGAGAGCACTAGTAGCTAGCTAGAGAACAAGCAGGAGCTTACTCCTCCTTGCTTTGCTTTGGCATTGAAATTGCACGGTTGCACCATGCGTTTCTCTTTCTCTCTCTGGGTACGACAGTGTATCTATGAGGGAAGGCATTATTTCATTTGCACGTCCAAATCGTGTGTGATTAACTCAAGAATCTACGCCCTTTCGCTTAGCTTATAAACCGTACTTTTTCAGACTACGAATAGTATTTTTCTCTCATAACAAATCAGACAACGGTACTTTCAGTCATGGCTTATCACCAAGCGAACAGGGCACCAGTGAGTGAGATCAAGACGAAGCAAGATGATGAGGTTTTTAATGTACAAAGGGGAGGGGCTACGATAACTGCCTCTGCAAAGAAGTGATTAATAAGTAACAAAAGGTATAAAGGCTAATCAGACCTTTGTTTGTCATGCTCATGCATGGCGGATTTGGCTTGGTTCGTCTCCGTAGCCCCCGTATGGCACGCAGCTCACAGGACGACAAAGCCAACGAGGCGCTCGCAGCATGCATCCCTACTCCGATGTACAAATCCACGGATCCAGGCCCTCGCCTCGTCCCGGCCTTCCGGCAGCAGCACCAGCGACGCCGTCCGGTGGTTTGTCGGCGCTGGCCGCGCCCGATGACGAGGTGGCCGCGCCGGCGGCGTGCGAGGAGTAGTTCAGCTTGCAGCTGCCGCCCGAAGCGCCGGCCGCGACCACGCCCGACAGCTCGTCGCCGCCGTGGCCGTGGACGTCGTCGCTCCTTGAGTGGTGCAAGTGCTGGCCCTCGGAGCCCAAGAGTCCGCCGTGGGTGAGGCCGAGGCTGGCGCTGCCGCCGACGCTGGCCAGGAAATCCGATGGCGACGGCGCTGGATCGTGCAGCCTCGACGACGCCTGCCCAAACCCGCCCGCCGCCGCGCCGAAAATGGACTGCGACGACGGCTGCGAGTCGAGGAGGTTCTGGAAGGAGAGGTAGCTGCTGGGGTCCTGCTGCAGCCGGAGAAGCGCCGAGGACGTCAGCTGCTGGAAGGTGTCGCCCGCCGCTGTCGGCGCGACGACAGGGTTGGACGCCGGTGCTGCTGCGGTGGCGGCCGTGCCCGTCGTGGCATTGGCATTGGCGACGCCGATGTTGGATGAGGACGGCGTGGACGACGACGTCGTCGTCGTGAAGGGCGGGAAACTGGAGGAGGGCACGGCCGTCGGGAGCTTGTGCGGGAAGGGGCGCAGGAGGTACGGCGGCAGCGAGGCCGTGGCGTCCGCGGAGGCGGAGCGCAGGGAGGACGACGGCGGGGGGAAGATGTGGTCGAAGCGGGTGCGGAGCGACGCGGCGGGGCCCCGACCCGACCCCCGACGCCCGCGGCGAAGGGCGGGGACGGATGCCCGTGAACTCCTGCACCATGGCGCGGAAGTTGGAGGTGTCGGTAGTGAGCACCGTCGTGGGCGCCCGCCGCGACGCGCGCGTCCGCTTCCGCGACCCCCTCGGTGGCTGCGCCGCCGGCGCGGGCGCGCCGCCCATCGCCGCCCCCTGCCCCTGCGCTGCCGCCACGGTCGTGTCAGCAGCCTGCTGGCGCTCGCCCGCGACCGAGTCGGGTTGCCCGATGCGCGGAGACGAGGAGGACAGCCCCGAGGCGCCGGGGAACGACCCCGATGACCAGGCACCCGCCTGCTGCTGCGGAGGCGGCGCGGACGTCAACTCTTGGAGGCCGAAGTAGGAGCCATGGAGCGAGAACGCGGCGGCCGAGGGGACGGAGACGGAGACGGTCGGAGCAGTGCGGAGAGCGGGAGGAGTCGACGCCCCTCCACCCCGCGAGTCGAACTCGTCGTCGCCGCCGCTAGACGACTGGAGGCTCCTGCTGTTGCCGGAGTCCATCACGACGCCACCGCCACCGCAACCGCAAACCCACCAACCCTCCTCTCTCCCTGCTTCCCGGTGGTGCAACTCCCAGAAACAACCAACTACCACCACCACAAGCAGCTAAAAGGCCGGATCTTCCACTCCGGGACTCGCTGATCCAGGAGGGACGAGTGGCAGACGCAGAAAGAGGGAAGCTTTGCGTCGGACCGGCGATGCGGTATAAAAAGGGAGATCGATGAGGAGGGAAGAGAGAGGAGGAGGTGTCGAGGGGAGCTGGGGAGGGGAGGAGACGGCGGCTGCTTCGGAGCACGTTCCCGCAAAAGGGACGGCGACTGACTGACGGCTGGGGGAGGGCCGGGCCGGAGGAAGCTATCGTTGGTTGGTCTGGTTTGTTGCTGTGCGCGAGTGCGACCTGGCTGGCCGCGGCCGGGGACCCGGGAGTGCGAGGGCGTGCGTGGTGTCCAGGGCTCCAGGCTTGGTGAACAGCCGTCGCTAGTCGCCGGGGGAAAGGAAAAGGAGAGGAGGAAAAAGGCTGCGTGCGCGGCAGCTGACGACGGGCCCACTGGCAGCGATCCACAGGCTTGTTCCGTCTGCTCTGCGCCACCGCCAGTTTGTCCCCGGGCCTCCGTCGACCGGATAATGTAGCTAGCTTGCAGTGCCCACCCGTTGGTTTCGCTCAAATTTAGCTTAGGCTAATAATGTTAATTTGCTGAAAAGTACCGCCGAAAAGTATCTGTGCTGCTAGGCAAACATTAGCTCGACAAAAAGTTCAAACTGGGATCCTAATGCAAGTTCAAACTGGGATCCTAATGCCTTGACAGGATTAGCGTAGGGAGGTTCGTCCCCTAGTTCTAGAGTCTCCCTTCGATGAGATTCCGGCTGTTTCTTTTCTACCGTGGAGGAAAGATCACTAGCTGCAACTGCAAGCGAGCTTTGTATGCCATCAAAATCTCAATGGTTCTTGTCCATGGTGGACGTATGTGCATACTATACTCTCTCATGCTGAGTCACTATTTTTTAAAAAAGAAACATGATGAGTAACAGTTGGTACTGACCAAGATATGTTTTTTCTCTCATTACCGTATACTCCCTCCGTCCATAAAAGAACACAATGATGCGATCCGTGTCAGTCAATCTGACTCAAATTTAATCAAGTTTACATTAAATAGTATTAACATTTATGTCTTCAAATAAATTTATAATGAAAATATATTTTATAAACTAATTTAATGGTACTTATTTTATATCATGAATATTAGTACTTTTTATATAAATTTAGTCAAAGTTTATATTGTTTGACCTGTTGAAAAGCGAGAATTGCATTCTTTTGTGGACAGATGTACTACTATCCTTCTTGACCTCCCTCTATGTTAGTAAACATAAATCCTGTATCATCCAAGCCTCGGGGTTTCGATATTATAAATCATTTATTTAAAGAAAAATACCATGTTATAAAAAAACCTTTTGTTTTCTTATGAGGAATGCTAATCAATTTACGGATCGTTCACTTCTATAAAGGTGAAGGTTGATACGCTGTTGGTATAGTATTTTACTAAGGTCACTTTAACCGACGCCCGTAGCCACAGCTAGCAAGTTTAGCAGAACTGAACCCATAGCTATTAGCATAGACAGCCACAGCCCTTTAGGGCTCTATGCTCCATCGTTGGGCACCTCGCAACTGCCATCTAAGGGCCTTTGCCCTTTTTTCTCTCTGGTGAGGCTACCAGTGGCAAGAAAAAAAGGGATCCATCCTCTATTTATTTTTAAAGCATTTTTAAGTTTAGCCTAAACAGATTTATCGTCGAAACCATCACCAATGTTCGTCGGGGAGCCTGTTACATGCAATGACTTTAATGATGGCCACATTGAGATTACCATTGCAGGAATTGATTTGATTAGTAGGAGGTCAATTTGTGGTTACTATTTACAAGGGTAAGGGTGCTCATAGACACTCCTCATGGTGATATATTAACTCTGGGTTGTCAATCTCATAGCCGATGGCCGTGGATAGAAAATTAGGCTTCCAACATGATTCATGAACCGTTGGAGGTGCTAAATTCTGTAGCATGTGTTGTACCTAACAATTCAACGCCGATATTCATTCATTGATCCATATATTTTTTGGTATGATCCTAAAACGTTGAATTGTGTGCCATGTCTAAGACTTTTGGGGTGGTCGGATTTGTTATAAGAACTATACTCTTGTTTTATTGTTCTATGAGACTCCATGTATCTTGAGCATCAGTTGCTTTGACTAAAATCATTAGAGAAGAATATGCTAAAAGGATTTAGATAGAATATTATACTTTTTATTTCAGATTTTACTCTTATATACACTTAAAAATAAAGTTTAACTGTTACCGTAGCCATAATGAAAAATTTGGGTGTTTATTAGTATTTACGGTCACTGCTACCGCGTGCCTCTCTACACTACACCGTTGCATTGGGATCGAGAGATTCCACGGTTGAGCAGCCCCAAAGCCTCGCGCCCGTCCTGTCGTTGGCTAAGGCTTGGCCGCGGCTGGGAAGCCAACTTTTTTATCCGCCAAGGAGTATAATCTATCATAGATCATGCATGCGGCGCACGCTACGCGATGCCCGATTTTTCGGTCGCGGAAACGTGCGCGCCCGCCCATGCTCGTGCGCACGAGAGACCTCGTGGTGTCGTGCATATGGGAAGCTGGGAACGGGATCCTCCGATCCTGTGTACTCTTCTTCACTACTTCTGCTAGTCGATCTTGCGCATCTCTGTAGGCTGCTGCACACACCGCCAGGCCAGGAGGAGAGGCAGGAGTGCGTACGCGCCCCCTGATGGGCTCGTCACGCGCACTCGCAGCAACTGGATGTTGGGCGCGCGACGGCATGACCACTGTTCACACGTAGCGCACGCGCCTCCCCGTTTGGAACGATCGAGGACACTTGCGTGCCTCCGGTGGCGGCGGTCACCGTGATACGGCCCAAAACAGCGGTGGGTTGAGCTGGTACTCGAATATGGTTGCAGTTGTATTCCTGTATTCCCGTGGTATGGATGGATGGTGTGGTGGCAAACTGACGGTCAGCGTGACAGCGTTCATATTATTAGTGTCTGGAAAAATCTGGATGTTTCCTCATCCTATTTATGAACTGCTCAGGGAGTTCGGTTAGTCGTTAATCCTACTACTTACCGCAGTAACTAGAGCTAGCTGCCTCTTCAGGTGTGGCACAAGAACAACGCAACTACAGTAGTGGGCCTAGTGGCTAAGCTTTTGCATTAGACCCGGCCGGCGGTCAAGTGAACGATGGTCTCCAGCTTCACCTTCACGTCGCTGCCGGCCAGCATTTGTAAACAACGAAAGTTCCTGCCACGCGGTAAAAGTAAAAACAGCAGTATAATAACTTTGTTCGTTCGTCAGTGGTTAAAAAGTCGCAAAGCTAAGCCTGGAGTAGGCTCAATCAACGCCGGCGCGGTTAACCATTCCGATGGCGAGGCGTGTCACACGGCTCCAAAGTTACTCCTGCTACTAGTCCCGCTCTCACGTCGGCGCGCGAGATGCTGACGAGTGACGAGACGCACGGGACTCGTAAAAATCACAGGATAGAATACAACTAGAATACAGTACGCGGCTCATGCGTTCCTACGCGTCCCGGTCACCAGAAGTTCAGCGCAACCCGCTGCGGACGCGTGAGAATTCCTTCCAGAAACAGTGCAACTTGTGCCGATAGCTGCAGCGGTGGTCAATGGTCGCCGGGGAGCGCCCTTTCGTCTGCGCTTCGGAGGAAGCCGTCAGCCGTGGGATCTGTACCTGTCTGCAACCTGGCTTTCCCCGGTTCCTTTTTCACATCGGATAGGAGAAACCTGCTGCCACTTGGGGCCTTGGCGAAGTCATACACGTGGAGCTAGTGACTTGGATTGATATGGATTTTTACCTTTCAGTTATGTACGTTTTGCAATAACAAAATTACACAAGGATGCTTGAATACCTAACTGTTTTCTCTAATGACCAGCGTTTATTATATAGACATACAAGGAAAGTAATATCCGCAGTCTATTTGTCGAGAAAATCAGATAAAAACACAAGCAGTGGTTTTTATAATAAATAGACATATAGCTTAGAAAGGTTAGTGTACTGTATCATTTTAGAGAGGTTGGGACCTACTTAGGTACTTTTCAGTAAACAAACAATATTTTTCTCTCACAACAAATCAGCATAAGTATCAACATAAGCCAATCAGCGAAACGAGCAGGGCCATAGATCCTATTTGGATCCTATATGGAACGTGAGATTTTTTTTCCTGTTCCTGCGTTTTTCGTGTGAAATTAAACTGATTTTAATTTTTACACAATTTCTATAGAATATCTGTGTTCCAAACAAACCTAAGTTAAAGTAGAATCTCACGCATAGAGTACATTTCGCTCTCTACTTTTGTCCATAGGTAAGTCAAGATGACCTATTATTAGGACTTCGTGTAAAGGCCGCTCTCACTTTACAGCTCATATTAGTACGTAGCTTCCTGTACGCATAAAACCAGGCGTTTCCAAGAAATGTCATCAACAAGAAATGCCAGAAATGAGTAAAGGCCGGTGAAAATTTGCATTTTTCAGTTCCTTGAAACGGCCTACGACAGCCCATGTGTCTTGACGATTTTCCTTTTCAGTTCCAAAAAGAAAAATCGCAACAGCCCAAAGAAAAACCTCGAAACAGCCCAGAACGCTATGGGCCGAGCTGACTGCTGTTCCACAGAATATCTGCGGGCGATCCACCGATCAAGCGAGCTGATGAGCTGGTCTCGAACCGCTCCACCCGTCGCGCCATCCTGGCGTGCCGCGGCACACGTGTCGACAGAGCTGGCACGTGCCGCCGCGCGGCGCATCCTTATCTCTCACTTCCTCGCCAGCCACTCTCTCAGGCTCTGATCGGCCGCCGCAAGCGATCACCGGATCACGATGCTGCGGAGGACGCTGCCGGCGTTGCGCTCGGTGAAGGATGGCGTGGCAGACGCGGCTGGGCACGCCGGCAAGGGCGACGCGCACTTCC